CATCTAGGGAGGTTCTGGCCATTTGGAGCTCACCTCTTGCTTTGAGTACATATGCAAGTGGAGAGACTTGGTAGCTCCCAGCAGTGATTTGCCAATCCACAAGTGAGTGATTTAAAAGCTTGAAAGATGTGGTCAGACAGCCTTGAACCTTGAACTTCTTAAAGCTTTCTACTTTCTTTTCTCCTCCTAAAGGATGAAATCCAAATGGTGACTCATATGAGTTTGCACCTCGTTAATGGAAACATTGTACGCCTTCCCAGCCCAACAGTGGAACAGCCTCTTGGCCTTGAGCTTGGCCTGCGTGCCTCTCCAGCCTCCCAGGGCACGGGGCTCCAGCCCCGATCCTGCCCACATTGGGCTGTGTCTGCAGCTGCATTGCTAGTAGTAGTCCATGCCCCTCTCCCTGGAGCTGGCTTTTGCTTTGTCGCTGTAATTAGTGTTGTCAAGTGGTGCTGCCTCCGTAACTGCCTTCCTATAAATTTTTATGAAAATACAAACTCCTGAAGTAGAAGAAGGACATCAGTTGCTCAGTCCAGCCCTGGCGCGTGCTTGGTGCCAAAACAGCGGGTGTCCGTGATGATCTGAGGCTGTGATCTGCCACGGGAGGCTGCTGATGTGTGCCCCTGATAAGGTTTCGGGTCTTGAATGTGGTCCCTTGGAGAGGCTCCCCATGATGAGCCATTCTCTCACACACAGCTTTGTCATAGTTTGTCTAACCACTAAGATGTGAATTTCATGATTCCATGACAAAGGAGGGGACTGATTTGTCTTGTTTCTCCTGCTCCCCAGCTCCTGGAACATTGGTTAGCAATTCTCACTCTGAGCATGATGAGTCTCTCCACATGGCTGTCTGTGCTGCTTGGTAGGGCACATATGGTCCTTTATCATCTGGTCCCTGGAGACCTACCACCCTCATCCTCTTCTGTGTCCCGTTCTGTGATCACCCACCCCCACCCCCTAACTCTTACTAGGCACACCAGCTCTCCTCTGAGCATTGACCTCATGCCAGACAAAGCCCTGAGCCTGCAGGTGGAGCGGCTCTTTGAGCTTCACAGCCGCCCAGTGCAGTGGGTGTGGTTGTTAATCCGCATTTATGGCTCAGAGAGGTTGAAGGACTTGCACAAGAGCTCAGCACCGTTAGGACATGATAAAGCCCAGGTCCACATCTACCTCCCTCAGCTGCCTCCCCTCCAGACTTGGCCCTTTGCACACTCAGTGTCTGTCCTCTATGCTGTGCAGTCTGGTTTTATTTTTATGATAATGGAAACTACCTGTGATCTCGGATCCCAAGGCCCTCTGAGTCTTCAATTTATTTCTAGTTAGAGTTTGGAAAAAGTAATTTGAGCAGCAGTAGCAATAAGCTTAACGGTTTATGTAAGATGAAAGCTGTTTACATCAGTGACTGTAAGAAGGAATATGTGATATGAAAATTTAGAGTTACCGAGTTGAGCTTTAGTAGCAATGAGCACTGGTAGTTTTAATGTTGCTGGAAATTACTTCATCAAATTTTGTCTCCTCGATCCCATCTGACTTTCTTTTTATGCTGTAGCAAGACGAAAGCTTTGTCTGATGTGGTCAAGCCACTCTTCTGGTTGCAGGAGAGAACCAGTGATTTGACAGCTCATGATGAGCACCACTTGAAGTGGGGATGTTTCGATGTCTTAGGAATTTATTGAGAATTATCTCCACACTCCGGCTCCTACTGCAAACCAAAACAAAAGCAAACCTGAAAACTCCTGCTCTGCTTGGAAAGGACAGTGGCACATTAGCAGATACTTAGCAGTAATATCGGTGGTTGTGTATTTCCTGCTTACTGTGTGGTAAATGGATCCACAGCCCTGCGGAGGCTCAAGGAGGTTTATGCAATTTCCATATGAAATTCACACAGACGTTATTAGTGATGTTGTATTTGTTTGTTAAAGACCAAAAGAAGATCAGTGTAAGCTTATCTTATGCAAAAGGAATAAGGCGACTGGAGAATATGAATTTTAGGTCTGTACAAAGGAAAAAACTGGTTAAAAGGCTTTGCGACTTATTCTTCCTTTGTTAATTGCATGCTCTCAGGCTGTCTTTTGTGCCGTTTTCCCTTTGCCTTTCCTGAGGGTTTGGAAGAGGTGAGCACCTCGGGGATAGAGGGGTTGTCCTTTGAGTGGAGATTCATGGAGCAAGTTAATGGAAGAATCACTGAGAAGTTTCATGTTGATTGCATGAGGGCTCCCTTTAGTTTCAGGTAAAGAATTTTAATTCTTTTCAAGAGTCTGCGTGGTTTTCCTCGGTGATAAATGAAAGAGTGCTTATTATTAGAAAACTTAAAATATGGAAAAGAATGGGCTGGAAACCTACCCCTTGAGTAATGTTAGTAATAATCTTGGTCTCTTTCTTTCTGTACCTTTTATTCTTTATGTAACAATACACACACCCCCACTCGAAAAAAAAGCTAGTTCTCTTTCTTCCTCCAAAGCATCACGGCTCAGGTTCACAACACCTTTGTTCCACAAGGCTTCTCTCCAATTTCATCCTTTTTTTCTGAAAATATGTTTTATATCCCAACGAGAGTATTTCTTACAAATGGTCCGACTTTATTGATACATAGTGTCTGGGTGAACTCTGAGGTCAGGAGGGCTGATTGCTTGGGAAGGGCAGGGGGCCCAGAGGTCTGAGGAGGGTCTGTATCCTGGGAGGCTTCTGTGTAATATGCTTGCAGCATCCCCAAAGAACACAATAGAAGAGCCCATGTTTCTCTAAAACATTGAAATGGTAGTCAAGTTTAATTGTGTTTTATTTTAACCATTTTGAAGTGCACAATTCGGTGACGTTTGTCCATTCACAGTGCTGTGCAGTCGTCCCTACAGTCTAGTTGCTGAACGTTTTCAGCATGCTGCGGGGAAACCCCTTATGCCTTCAACTGTCACCTCCCACGCTCCCTCCTCCCAGTCTCTGGACACCACCAGTCTGCTTTCTGTCTCTCTGCATTTGCCTGTTCTTAAGGTTTCATGTAAATGGAACCATACCTGGCATACGTGTCTGGCTTCTTTGACGTAACGTGTGCTTTCAAGGCTCACCCGTGTTGTAGCATGTATTCATACTGAATTTCATTCTGACCTCCAGCAAGGTTGCTCTAGTAATCAGAGAAATGACTGTGCACTTTGATCATATAAGCTATCTCTGCTTTTTGTGTGTTGATTTCTTCAGTCTCTGCATCCATCAGAGACTGCCTCATAGCTGCCTCCAGTTTTGTTTATTTGGGATTAGCTAAGAGTGTTGCATAAACTTTGAAAAAACTCGATTGCTCACCTCCTCCAGCTGGGCACAGTGGAGGGGTGGGACCTAGCCTGTAGCCCTGTGGTTGGAGCCAGGACTCTGAAGACTTGTGCATTAGGTTTGAACCCTGACGCTGCCCTTTTTTACCTATATAACCTTGAGCTAACTCATTAAACTCCTAGGACATATTTTTCCCTTCCTGTGAGATATGAATGGAGCTCTGGTGGTGTAGGGCCTAAGGCATTTCACTGCTAACCAGAAGGCTGGTGGTTCAAACCCACTAGCCACTCCTCGGAAAGAAGACTGGGCAATCTACTTCCGTAGAGATACTGCCTAGGACACCCAAGGAGGGGTCGCTATGAGTCATATTGACTCGATGGCAGTGACTTTTTATTTTTTTGAGATGGGAATAAGAATACTTAGTCCTCATTATTTACGGAATCTGTATTTGGGAATTCATCTACTTGCCGAAATTTACTTATAACCCCCAGATCATTACTCAGTTGGTCATGGACGTGTGTGTGCAGAGGTGCAGAAAACAAAACTTGAGCCACCAACCTAACATGCACATTCCGAGCTGAGGTCGAGCAAGGCGGTTCAGCATTAGCTCATTCAGTGTTGTGGTGGCCTCATAACTACCACAAACAATGAGAATCGGCTGCCTGTGCATAGAGCTACTGTGACAGAGATCTAGGAACACATGTTGTTGTTGTTATGTGCCGTCCAGTCGGGCCCGACTCATAACAACCCTTCCTTGGGTTTCCGAGGCAATATCACTTTGGAAACAGATTGCCCAACCTTCCTTCCGAGGAGTGACTGGTGGGTTCTGGTGGCATAGTGCCTAAGATATTTGACTGCTGACCAGAAGGTTGGCAGTTCAAACCCACCAGCAACTCCTCAGAAGGAAGGTTGGGCAATCTACTTCCATAGTGATAACCACCTTGGAAACCCGAGGAGGGGTCGCTATGAGTCTGATCCGACTCCATGGCAGCGGTTTGTTCTAGGAACACATTTTGTTGTTGTATTTATTCAGATACAGAATTGTTGTTTTTGTTGTTATGTGCCATGCTGTGGCTAAAGGGGTCCTTGGGTAGTGCAAACGCTCAATGTGCTGGAGCACTAACCAGAAGGTTGGAGGTTTGAGTCCACCCAGAGACACCACGGAAGAAGGACTTGACCATCTACTTCCGAAAAATCACCGACTGACAACCCGATGGGGCAGTTCTGCCCTGGCACACGTGGGTCTCATGAGTAGGAATGAACTTGACAGTGACTGGTTTTTACCGGTGAAGGTAATTGTGCTGTGGGCATTGTGTCTGTCCCCGTTGCTGATGAAGCTGTGGCTCGCTGTTCTTGGATTCAGTACCAAGACCTTGATGAGAGGAAAAGGCCAGAACTATTCAGATGGTGTCACTCGTGGGGAAATTCTGGGCAGACACAACTCAGATCAGAAACAAAGTGTTTGCTAGGAGTATGCTCAATGATTAAGAATAAAATTAGAGTCTAAAAATAACCTGATAGGGTCATCTTCTGACCAAATACAGTGTGGGTTCTTGACTCTGAAGTGTTAAAATCAACCAAGTGAAAAAAGTTTTTCACCTTATGGGTGCATTTGCATGAGCTTGTGAATTTAAACAGCAAGTAAGCAACGTTTGTTGCCCAGGATTGAGGGTCCAGAGAAGGCATGTCAGTCACTGTAGGGACCTGTCCTCTGAGCCTCAGTGTTCGGTCTGTTCCAGGTGGCGGAGATGCACGGCGAGCTGATCGAGTTCAACGAGCGCCTACACCGCGCCCTGGTGGCCAAAGAAGCCATGGTGGCCCAGATGAGGCAGGAGCTCATTGACCTGCGTGGGCCGGTGAGTACTTCCGGGAGGGTCCGCCCGGCCCTCTGCTCGCTCCCACTGTCAGCCCTCCCGGCCACTGCTGCCCCCAACCCCACCATCTAGTTTAATTGTTAGCCATGTCAAGGATAGAGAAAGTACAGAGAATGAAAGATGTATCCATGTACTCACCAGCCAGGGAGCCCTGCTGGCACAACAGTTAAGTGCTCAGCTGCTAAGCCAGAGGTTGGCAGTTCGAACTCACCCAGTTGCTCCACGAGAGAAAGACCTGGTTATCTGCTCCCGTAAAGAGTAAAGCCTGGGAAACCCACTGGGCATGTGGGGCAGCCATGAGTCAGAAATCAACTCGACCGCACCTGGGACAACCGCCTTTATCAAAAGTCCTTTTTGGGGGAGGAGTGTGTATGTGTGTGTGTGTCTAATAAATAGAGTAAAATGTTACACAGTCTACTGAAGCCCCCTTTGCTCCCTTTCCTGCCCCATCTGAGTTAATCTTTGTTCTGAAATTAGTATGCAGTCTTCATCTCCATCTTTTCACACTTCACATGTAGATGAATTTCCATGAGCGTTGAACAGCCTTGGCCTCTGTCCTTAATTTTTGCTCCATGGTACCACTTGTCCATATCTCTTGGCCACTTCTTGCTGTCAATGCAGTATTAGGGTTTGGGGTGTAGCCCACATGGTTCTACCGCACTCATATTTGCGGGAGAGTACTTGCTCATGCTGTCTGCACCGTGAGATGTTTAGCAGCATTTTTGGTCTCTACCCCCTAGAGTCCAAAGCTCTTCCCTAACCCTGACTTGTCATAACCAGAACCTCTGCTGACAGACATTCCAGATGTCCACTGTGTGTATAGAGGGGTGTTGGAAATCACCCCTGGCTGAGAACTACTGACCAAGTTTATTCACTTTCTTGGCTTTTGTGTTCTTTTGGAATGAAAGACCACAGATATTTGTCATCCAGTTTTTATTCATAGACATTTAGATTGTTTACAGTATTTTGCTGTTGTGAACCATGTTGGACACCCTGAACATTCTAACACATATCCTTTTGTGTACATGTATACTAGTTTCTTCTCCACTGTAAACTATTTTTTATGATATAAAATGTTAAGCACCCAAAGGGAGGCCTAATGACAATGGGGCTCATGTTTCCGTTACCAACTTGAACTGTTAACAATTACGACCAGTCTTGTTCCAAGTTACCCACCTCCTCTTCTGCCTTCTGTATGTCTTAAACCAAATTCTGGGTTTTATTTCATCCATAGACATTTTAGTATGTATCTCTTAAAAAATAACCACTTCATACTTATAACACTGCCTGCCCCCCCACCATTGTTCAGATTTCCAATTGCCTCGTAATTTTTTGACATCTGTTTGAATCAGGATCCATTTGAGGTGTGCATATTTTAATTGGTTGATGCGTCTCTTTGTTTAATTTAGCAAGTTCTCTAGCTCCCTCTTTTTTTTCTTGGTGATTTCATTCATTGAAGACAGTGGGTCATTTGTTCTGTAGAGTTTCTGACCATCTGGATGTTGCTGATTGCATCTCTGGTGGTATTGGACGTGTTGCTCTGTTCCTTGTATTTCCTTAAGTTGGCCTTTGGATCAAGAAGCTTGGATCCAGGTTTAATTTTGCTGATAACATAATTGTACTATTGGTTGTTGGTGTGGTGTTTTCCATCAGGAAACACAGAAAGTCTGTTTTTCTCTCTTTTTATGATATTAGCAGCCATTTCTTATTACTTCTTAGATCCATTATGCACTGTTTCAAAATTTCACCTAAGGGTGAAATTCATGAGTTGGTCGGGTATGGCATCAATTTGGACTCATAGTGACCCGCATTGGGTTTCCAAGGCTGTAAATCTTTACAAAAGCAGAGTGCCTCATCTTTCTTTTGTGGAATGGCTGGTGGGTTCAAACCACTGACCTTTTGTTTAGTAGCCAAATGCCTTAACCACTGTACCACCAGCACTCCTTAGGCTTTACTGAGTATCACCATATAAAGTAAAAGCAACTATTTATGATACCTCTGTCAATGTGCTAGAATGTTTGTTTCTCTGCATCCTTGACTACATTTTTAGGTGTGAAATGAAGTTAACTTGCATTACCTCAGTCACAAATGAGGTTGACTTTTTATTTTCTTAGGGACCTTTTTGGTTTCTTCTTCCCTGACTTGTTTCTCTTAGCCTTTGCCTATTTTTCTGTTGGATTGTATTGGTTTTTCTTAGTGACTTGCATCCATTCTTTACATGTGTTTTTTAGTTGTTTGCATTGTAATTATCTCTTCTCAGTCTACACTGTCTATATATACACCATGGAGGCAAAAGTTAAGAACACGGTCTATACTGACTTTGAATAAAACTTTGTAGTATAGAAAGTACCCAATAGATGTAAAAGCTGAGAGAATCAAATAGTGAGCTCTCATGTACCCATCACTCAGCTGCAAAAAAAAATTCAGGGTCAGTCTTGCTTCATTCATACTTGATTCCTTCCCAATCCAGATTATTTGGAAGCATAGCCAAGCCATGATGGTATTACATTCATAAATATTTCAATATTAGTATCTAAAAAATAATCACATTACCATTATCACACCTAAAAATTAACAATTATTTCTTAATATCATCAAATATCCAGTAAGTGTTCAGTCTACAATTATATCAAATTTTTTGTCAGTTAATTTGTTCTAATCAGGATCCTTTTATCTGTTATAATTGGCTGATATGTCTCTTAAGAATCTTGAGATTCATCTCACCTACTT